TGTTTATATGTTATTTATTGATTTTTTAATTTGCAGCTTGTCTAACCAAACTCGAAATCAGTATTAGATAAATCAAAGGATTGCAATGTTGAAACGTTCTTATGACTTGGTTGCTGCACTTTTACAAATTCAACAACTTCTTCATAGTCTGTGCGTAAAAATCAACGTGGCACATTAAGTTATAAAGTTATATACGTCTGCCTTCTTGGAAAAGTTTTTTTGTCTGCATTATAACGACTAATTATGGAAGAGGACGGTTTAATGATCTCTGTCTCTGCTGGCAACATGGACATTGTGATTTTATTGAAAAAGGAAAAGGATGTTCCTGAATGTGGAACGCTTCCACATTGACATATGTAACTGCAAACGTATGTAGTATTTCTTGTGACATGCTATACGTTATCAAAGATAAAGCATTAAAAATTGATGACTACGATTGCTTCATGCAACATTTCTTATGGTTTACGGAGAACATCATGTTGTTCTCTATAGTTACAACCATAATCTCTTGTGTGTTTTATCTCTAAATGGTATGTATTCTAAAGATTGTCTGAAAATAAGGTATGTGGTATTCCAGAATCATTAGATTTGTATAAAAATAATATCTGTCTAAATTTGAATCTTTTTACAGGAAACTTTATGTTTTGGTTATCCAGTAGAACATGTAGTTTCTTCTCCCGATGCAAATACAGCTTACATAAAAGTAAGAGATCAAATATTTAAATACACAAGAAACGGAAAACTTGAACAGACAAATATAACGTTAAACGAACAGTGTGATCAAATAGAAGTTATACGAATTGATATCAAGAGATATTATCCTTGCTCTGTCTTCTGGAAAATAGTTTCTTGGTCGACGGAAAAGAAATTGCTAAGAATATTACAAGTTTTTACGTACATTCTGATTTTTTGTTTCTTACGACACTGCAATGTACATTGATTTGTGTCTTATTGAACGAAGTTAATATAAAGCAGCTAAATGAACGTGATTTAACTAACCAGCTCTCAGGGATTTAAATATGAACGAGATTTTATTTGCGGGTAAATACATACTTTTTATAATCTTTTTTTTTTTTGTATATAGCATATTTTTCTGACTTTAAATATATCGTTACAGATACATCAGGTACCTACATCAGACGACTCGAAAAAGGTTCTCGTATAATAACGGCGATACCGTACGACTCAAAAATAATTTTATAGCTGCCTAGAGAAAATTTAGAATGTATACAGCCAAGGGCATTATCGGTGCATATAGTAAAATGTTACCTGAATAACTGTGATTATTTGACGGCACTTGCTATAATGACTAAACAACGTATAAACTCGAATTTATCATACGACCACGATCCACAATTATTTCTGGATAATGTGAAAAAGTTCCTAGAAGATCTTGTACAGCATAAGAAGTTAAATTGGTTGAATCTGTTTTTGTCAGAATTACAAAATGTCGATGTCACCCGTACAATGTACGCGTTTTGTTATGTGGATCGCCCTGTCAAATCTGACACTAGAAGTAACAAAATACAATTAATAAGGTAGACGAGATCTGTAAATTATTAAGAGATGCCATGGAGAAATATCAAGTTGCGGATAACTTAATACAACCAATATTGATAAGCTTGGTGAAAAATTAACAAAGACAAGGATTGGGAAAATACACTCAGTAAAATAAAGCGAGTGAAAATGTTGGAGGATTCACAGAGATCCGAGTTACATGATCTTACCGTATCCACTTATGAAGCGTTAAAGTGTTCACTGCATTTCGTCACTATCGATACGTTATATGATGTTTCATTAGGCATGTATGATTTAGAACTCGCAATGTTTATAGCGTTTGAATCATCGAAAGAAGATCCCAAAGAATATATTCCATTCTTGAATAATTTGAAAAAATTGGACCCAAATTACATGAAGTATTCTATTAATATGCATCTTAAACGTTACGAATTAGCGTTAAAATATTTGTCTAAAGATTCAACTAACAATAAGTTTGAGGAATGATTAAATTTGATACGTAGTCATAAATTATACCAGGCGGCAATAAAATTGTTTGAGAAGAATACTATAGAGTATAAAAAGGTGGCTGAAGTTTATGGAGAATTTTTGTCAAGTGAAGGAAAATATGTGGAAGCTGGTTTTATAGAAGTGGCGATCTTGACAAAAAGTTGTAGAAACATTTAGAATGTTAAATGATAATTGGGAGGATATAATCGCAATATCAAAAGAGATGAAACTACGGTAAAGATATACAATTTTTTTTCGTATATGCATGAAAGAATATTATCCTATCATCGTTAGAATTAATTACATATGCTTCTATACACATAAGAATTAATTTTTTCAGCCCAGCAAATTCATACAAACTTCATAAGACACTGGTTGAACGTTTGAAAGCAGAGCGGAAATATAAACATGCAGCTATTTAAAAGAATATCTAAATGATGCTGAAGAAGCAGTTGCGCTATTATATGAGGGGAGATTTTGGAAATATGCAACACGATCGTGTTTATTTTTCTAAGGTATATATATATATATACCTTTTTTTAAAAGAAATTAATCTTTCTTAACTATATAGATAAAAAAGATAGTAGAAATAGAGTTTATGCTTTCTTTAAAGCAGAAAATAATTGGTACATTGAAAACTTTACATAAATACAAAGTATAATAATAGCATATAATTGAAGTAAAGCCCTTTGCACAATAGGCGATAGTGACAACGATAAAATTGCCGACAAAGCTATACCTTTGTTGGCAACTTTGTCGCTGTCACTATCATCATCGCTATCGCCTATTGTGCAAGGCGTCAGACTATTATAGGACAGGTTGCCGTTATATTGTATTATTACTGTAATTTCATGTACTTTTACGTCATTACGCATGATCATGTACGTCTATATCATGTCAGTATGATAGACACTCTAACCACGCAACTATTAATTTTAGTACTTAATAATTTTTTATCTAATTGAGAACGACAATTTTAACTTATAGATTTATTCATGTTTTACGCACCAAAATACACAAAATTAAAATTTTAGCCAAATCGGTGAGGAAGCTTCTTTCCTTAAAAAAAGTATAAAATAAAAAAAAATTTTTTAATAGAACCGACTTCAAAAAGCTCTAAAAAATAAAAAATATAGAACTTTTATATATTTTTTTAAATTCTTTCTTATTTTTTACAGTTCTTTTGAAGTCAGTTCTATCTTTCTTTCAGTTTTTGAGCAATTTTTTAAATTTTAATTGTTTTTTGCATTTTTTAAAATAGATTTATATATCAATTGCTATGTGACATAACAGTCACGTGTAAAATTTAATTTTATGGTAAAAAATTAAATATAATTTATTTTTAACCGACTTCAATATGGATGGGTTCATAACAACTTAATTTTGACAAATATTTAGATATTAAAGACGAAGGAACACGAATGTAAAGAGATCACGCCAGCAGAAACTCCATCGTTCTTCAATACAGCGGACAAAATGCTAAATCTAATGCATGTGACGTTAAAAGAAGCAAAATACATTATGACTATAGTGATGGATCTCAATGTTATATCGCTCGCGCTTCAAATTATTTGTTTAGCAGGTACATTTTATTATATTTCTCATTTTACTTATAAAATATAATAATGCAATTATAATTAAATTTTGTGAATTAAATGAATATAGGTAACATTTTATTAGGCGGAAGAGCGGAGAGAAACAAATATCTGTTGTTACATGCTTTTAAATTTGAAAGATTACATAACGCTGGATAAGAAAATTGAAAAGAAGGGGCGAGGCGATGGTGAGATCTCAATATATTTTTATATATTGTTTTTATATTACGAAATTATTATGTGTACTGGGTGTGCTAATGTTAGATATATGTTAGATGGCCCGCGTAGGAAAGCTGCGGGGTATGCTGAAGGTCTCGTGTTTGATCCGAAGAAAGGTTTCTACGACAAAGGTTTCTACTGTTAAGGTTCATTGGTCATATGAAGTTTGCACACGTCAAGCTTGACATCCTAAAGACATCCTACACAATGCATTCTGAAAACGATACCGTGCAGGTTCGTTGGCGTATACGTGGTGTCATCACAGGCTGGAAGGTATTTTCTGTGTTTTGGAAGTAAAATTTGTAAAATACAACATGTCATAAAATAAGCGCTAACCAGGAAATGTAAGTGTAATCAGTGTTCTAAACATTCCTTTTAAAAGTAATATAAAATTGTTCTTATAAACATTAATTATATAATTAATTCAAGTTGTCTATTATTTGAAAAGAACTTGATTTTTAGTTTTGTTTTGTATTCTACCTTCAGAAAAAGATAAAATAATTTAGATTTCCTAAAATTAATTTTGTTTATGCTATCGGAGAGGAAACACTTATTATAAAATTGATTATAATACCGAGACAATTATATATAACGATTTCAGATGGTACGACGGCTTTTTTATTTTTTTTACGTTAATGCTGAATGGAAAAGTCTATAAGCATATTGCGGACAAGATGATGCCTAATCAGGATACAGCCACGAAAAAGAAAGATATGCGCATGGCAGGGAAATTAGCGCTATTCACAGGCCTTGTAAACATATTTAGTAACAACGAAGATTCTTTGAATTGAGCTCTGTCTTAAAATCGCATCAATTGAAGTGAATCCATTGCTGAGTGCTGAAATTATACGATTTTATCCGTCACAACGAATAGACCAAGAGGAATGATTTTTCCAGTCGATGGTTTCGAATGTTGCTGACATATCTATTTCGTTGCAAATGCATCATTATGAAATGATGATCGGTAGTAAATGAAAGATATGTGAATTAAAAAGATGTGTACATTAACTAAACAGTATCTTTGTTTGATTACAAACTATCTTCATCTAATTTTTTAGTGAAAATGTCCGAATAATTTACGTTAGTATGTCTGTGTAAAAAAATATGACGATTATATTACAGTATATCTGACGATTTTAACATAATTATAGAGGTAGGGTGTCTAAATTGTTATCGTTCCATCCAAATGTAGCTTTTATACTATTGGATAGTATCGATATTTTATGCTGCTTAGAAACAAGTAAAAAGTATTTTAAGACACTTGTATCGTTTCCAGAATATAAAAACTTGTGTTTAGATTACAGATATACGTTTTGGGTATTTCGTTGCAAATGTATCATTGTGAAATAATGATCGGTAGTAAATGAGAGATATGTGAATTAAAAATATGTACATTACCTAACCCTTCATCTGATTTTTTAATTTTAGTAGTGACAATGTCCTAATAATTTTGCGTTAGTATTCCTGTGTAAATAAATATGACGATTATACGATTATATTACAATAAATCTGAAAAATGTTAGAAAATAAAACAATTGTTTAAAGGTATCCTGTATATCATAGTATCTATTTGCTTTGCCTGTATGGAATGTTGATAACACGTAAGATAATATAATCATTAAAGTAATATTTCTTAAATGTATATTTCATACTTAATTTTATTTCATAAATACTATCACATTTATTCCTATGAATCGTTTTCATTACGCTATTATGATTTTAACATAATTATAGAGGTATAATAGGATGTGTAAATTATTACCGTTCCATCCAAATGTAGCTTTTATAGTATTATTTATTGTATCGATACCTTAAGTTGTTTATAAAAAAGTAAAATGTATTTTAAGACGAAAGAAAGTAATAGAGATAGAAAACGAAGAAAGAAGGACAAGAAAAGGAACAATAGAGAAAAATATTATATATTACAAAAATATTTATTATATATTGCAAATATATTTAAATTTATATATTAGTTAACTTCTTTATATACACTACCGCTCAATAATTTCAATATGCAAAAGATTCGTTGATTTCTCTGTAAAGGATGAACATCATGATACGTGTTTTGCACAGAAATGAATGCACTAGCTGTTATAAACATTTCACTTGCATGCATCGCATTTTTATATAAATAATATATAAAAATGCAATGCATGCAAGCGTATAACAGCAAATCTATTCATTTCTGTACAAAATATATGTATCATGTTCATCCTTTACAGAGAAATTAACAAATATAGGGGTATATTGAAATTAATGAGCGGTAGTGTATATAAAGAAGTTAACTAATATATAAATTTAAATATATTAATTAAGAGATGGAGAGATGAGAGAAAGGAAGAGCAGGGAGAAATGAAAGAGGAAGAAAAGTGGGAGATAAGGGAGATAAGGGGGAAGAAGAGATAAAGCAATGGAAGCGAAGGTAAGAGAGCTAGAAAGGTGGAGAGAGTTAGAAGAGAGAGACAGAAGGAGGAACAATGTAGTAGTGAAAAGGGTGGAGTTGGTGAAGGGAAGGCTAAAGGAAGCGGTAAAGAAGCTATGGCTAGAGATAAGGCTAGATGAGAGAGGAATAGAAGAGGTAAAAGAGGTAGGAAGAAAAACGGGGAAAGAAAAGAAGATTGTTTTAGTTAGGTTAAAAGATAGAGTAAGAAAAAGAGAGGTAACGCAGAGAAAGAATGTGTGGAAAGGGAGGATGGAAAGAATAGAGGATGACATGACCTTGAAGGAAAGAAAAATGTAATGGAGCCTGGAGAGGATAACTGAGAAGGAGAGAAAGGATAGAAGGAGAGCTTGGGTAAAGTACGGAAAAATTTGGATAGAGGGGAAGTGGTGGAGTTGGGATGAGGAGAAAGAAGTCCTGACAGATGGATGGGAAAATGAGAAAGAGGAACAAGAAGAAGGAGGGGGGGGAAGAAAAAGGAACAGAGGAAGAGGGAAAGAGTAGAAAAGAGGGAGACAAAAAAATGAAAAGGGAGGATAGTGAGAAGAGAGGAAAAACGATGGGAGGGTAGAGTGGAGAGAAAAGAGAGGAGAGGGAGAGTAGGAAAAAAGGGAGTGTGGTGAGGCTGAGGGGAGGGGGGAAAGGAGTCAGAGAGAGTAAAGTGGGGAAAGTAAAAAGGAGTGAAAGAGAGGAAAAAGAGGTGAGAAAAAGAGAAGGGGGAAGAAAAAAATTAAAGAGGGAGGAAAAAAAGGAAGGAACAGAAAGGCAGCCTAAAGATAAATTTTTGGAATGTAGCGGGAGTGAAGGAAAAACAGGAAGAGTTTTGGGAAAGGATAAAAGAGTGGAATGTCGGGGTTGATGGAGACGTGGCTGGAACGAGAGGAATGGGAGAAGATGAAGAATAGGGTGCCAACAAAGTTCTGGAGTATACAGGGTGCAAAGAAAGAAAGAGTTGGAAGAAAAGGAAAAGCAATAGGTGGAATAATGATGGAAGTCAGAGAAGGGTTAGAAAAGGAAGAAGAATGGGTGGAGGAGGAGGGTTTAATGATTAGAGAAGTAAGATGGAAGAAAGAGAAATGGAGATTGGCAACAGTTTACGTAAGCGCAACTTGGACAAGATGGTGGGTAAGATAAAATCGGTAAAAGAGGAGGAAGGGAGAGAGGAGAGATGGATAGTGAAGGCGATTTCATTGCGAGAACAGGGGAGAAAGGAGCGCTGGAGGATGGAGAAGAGTGAGCTGAAAGAAAATCGAAAGATAAAATGATAAATAGGTAGGAGGAAGGGCTGATTAGATGGGTGGAAGAGGAAGGGTGGGAAATTATGATTGGAGCAAAGGAGGGAGGTGAAGAGGGGGAGGCGACTTTTACAAGAGGAAGGGGGGAAATAGTGATCAATTACGCAATAGGAGATAGAAAAACTTGGGAAATAGTGACAAGATTACAGGTGGAGTGTGAGGTAGATTCGGATCACAAATCAGTAGCAGTACGGTTGAACAAAGGGGGTGGTGGTGAGAGAAGAGGGACAATAGCGGAGGAAGAGAGGTGGGTGGAAAAGACGGATTAGTCGGAAGAGGCAAGAAAAGAGTTTTGAAGAAGGACGGAGGAGGTAGAAATAGGTAGGGGGCAATAGATAAAGAGGTCGAAAAGTTGACCAAAAAAATTAAGATATGGAAGTAAGGGTGAGAAGAGTAAAAAGAGGGGCAGAAGAAAAAGGAGTATGGTGGGATGGGGACTGTAGGAAGAAGAGGGAGGAGATAGAAAAATTATTGAGAGACTGGAAAAGAGGAAGAAAACACAAAGAAGATTATAAGAGAAGAAAGAAGTATAAGGAAATGTGTGAGGAAAAAGGAAGAAAAAAGAGAAATCTGCTGAAAGAGGCAAAAGAGGCGAGAACAGAGAAGCAGGTGTGGGAAGTAGTAAACAAGGAAAGGAGAAGAAGGGTAGAAATTAATAAGGAGATAACATTAGAGGAGTGGGATAAATATTTTAGGGAGATTTTAGAAGGAACGGAATACAAGCAAAGGCTAGGAGAAGGAGAGGAGAGAGAGCAGGGGTCGGAGGGGGAAGTGGAGAAAGAAAAGGAGATAGGATGGGAGGAAGTAGAGAGAGTGCTAAAAGGGCTAAAAAAAGGTAAAGCGGCGGAAAAGGACGAGATAGGAAATAAAGTGTGGAGTTATGGGGGAAGTGGTTTAAGAAAGGCGTTATGGGAGAGTATGGAAAGGAGAGAATTTTCCAGAGGCGTGGAAGGACGGAGTAGTCGTCCCGATAGTGAAAAAGAGGGGCAAAAGAGGTGAGTGAGCATAGAGGGACGCGTCGATATTAGCAAATAGGTTGAGGGAAGAGATGGTGGAGAAGGGGATGATCCCAGAAAGCTAAGCAGGGTTTAGGAAGAGGAGAGGAGTGGTGGACAACATTTACACACTGAATTATGCGATAGGGAAGCGATTAAAGAGAAAAAAGAAGGTAGTGGTTGCTTTTGTAGATCCAAGGGCAGCATTTGATTCAGTGGATAGAAGGGTTTTGGGAAGATGTCTGAAAGAACTAGGGGTGAGTGAGAGATTGGGAAAGAGAATCATGGAAATATACGAGAAAACAAGGAGTGTAGTGAGGGTGGAGAAAAGATGCGGATGAAAATTTTGGACAGCGAGAGGGGTAAACGGAAAAATTGACAGAGCCGATCAGGATTTAAACTTGAAACCTTTCGTTTTCTACCTTCGTAGTCTGTTACTGTGTGTTGCTTCACAATTGCTTTACCTCACATAGCAAAATGTTGGCAGTATGCCGATAGCATACCAGTAAATTTATCTCATAATTTTGCAGCAAGATCTTCTTGTGCTGTGTTTTTTATTCTATCCTATTTGATTTTTACTACCTTATAATTTGTTTTATCAATAAGTATGCCAGTTTACGTTGCATCTCAATTTTATATTTAAATATAAAACTGCATTATATATATGAAAAGAATAAAACAAAAAGAAAAATTTAAATAGTTTTAGGACGTTACACAAACATGTAAAATAATCTAATATTATCAATAATATATTTATTATTATTTAAACTGTACAATTAGTAAAAGAGATTTGGTTAAATTTTATTTTTAATAATTGCTTTTGAATGATTCGTTTTTAGCATATTTTATATATAAAAATCAATAAATGTGTAAAAAAAAAGTAAGGGTTTTTACGTTTTTAATTATATAAGTAAATTATGTCCTCATCAGCATTAATAAAGTGCGGTGTTTAGTTTTCGAGAAATAAGGAGGTGTCGCTTTAGAGGACCTATGTCGATATTAGCGACTTACCTTTTCACTTCTAATAAAAATATAAAAAATGTATAGTTGTATATTCGTGAAATAAGATAAATGCGCGCGCGTAGCGCGCGCCTGTGTCGTTCTATTCGTGAAATAAAATAAAAGCGCGCGCGTAGCGCGCGCCTGTGTTGTTCTAGTCCATAATAAAAAAATCCATTTGGACCGAGAAGTGAGCTTTGCGAGTCGAATATCTCGCACGTAGTGTTGCCGCTTTTCCGCGTGCGTGATTGGTCAGCCGAAGCCGGCGATCGAGATCGCGGCGAGTTTGGTCGGCGAGTTTCGTGCGTGTGTGTCGTGAGTGTCACGGAATCGTGATGTGACA